AGTGCCTACCACAATGCTTTTGAGAACCACTGCCCAGCCCAGAGGGATGGGGTAGACAACAGGAGGGGGCAGGAGGCAGAGGGGACCAGGAGGACACAGAGGGGCCTGCATGGCGTGAGATCTGAGTCAGTGTGCAGGGCCGAGGCTGGAGGAGCCCTCTGCCCCCTGCTCATCTGGACCCGACCCAACTCATCCTGGCCACTGTGCTCTGGAGGCCAACAGCCAGCGCTGCCAGGAGGTGAGAGTCCCTGCTCTCAGTATGGATGGTGACCGTGAATGTGACCTGCCGCCCTGGCCTCCAGCTGATGGGCCAAAGTATTTCTCTGGCTCCACCCCTCCTGCTCTGCTGGTTTCCAGGATCTACTGGATTCTTCTCACAGTTTCAGGGGCCCCAGGCAGTGTGAGCTGTGCTCTCACCCTGGCCCTTTCCTGGTGCAGCCATCACTGCTCCCAAACCCAACCCCGACCTCTGTCTCCAGGGTCTCCTGTTACTACTGACCTCAAAAGCAGCAGCTCTGTCCATTGTCCTCCGGATCCCAGGGCTGCAGACACATAGCTCCAGCAGCAGTGGTCTCTGTGCCAACCACACCACCCCACCTCCCGTCCCTGCAGAGGCTGCTGGCAGCATCCAGCGCTCCAACGCCCAGCTTTCCCACCACAGCCCCTTTCTCACAGGAGTCCTGGCAGGGAAGCTGAGTGGCCACACTGCAGTTCCATCAGGGTCCTTTCAGAGTGGCCTCCCTCCCAGCCAGAGCCCTGCAGGTGAGATCCCCTGCCCCAAATACTCTCACCCCCACTCTCCTCCCCATCCTCTTCAACCCTTGGTGCCCCCTCTTCAGGGAAGCCTTCCTTGACTCCTCACACTAAGCCAAGCCCCCGATATAAGAGCTCCCTCCTTAATGCTGGACTGGCAGGAAGTGATGGAGGATCCAGAAGAATCGATACCCACGGGTCAAAGCCTTTCCAAAGAGCAAGCACATCCTTCATGTGCCTCGTGAGAACTGGTACCTCGCCCGTCAGGCTGCTCACACATCCTGTGCTCTTCACAGGGCCTGTCAGACACTGGGCCCTAGTGAGGAAGCCTCGGTGTGTTTCCAGCTTGCCCCACTAAGGTCAGGGAGGTCAAGGTCATGCTGACCTGAGTGGCCCGGAAAGGAACCTTCTCCTTTGTTCTGTTTACCTTGGTTGACTCACCTTGCTCCTATCACGGAGAGCCGGCGTTTCCTTGTCGGTGTGGGTCTGGTCCTCGCTGTGGGCCACGGAGGGCAAAGCCCATGTGTGCTCTCCGGGGGGCAGTGTCCCTCAGTCCAGCTGCGGGGAATCACTTCCCAAATCAATCCTCAGGGAGCCTTGTCTCAGCTCTGCCCTCGGGGACCCCAGGCTCCAACAGGTCACTTCTGGCTGGTGGAGGCCTCGGGCTTTTGTGCAGAGTGATGGGAAGCCCTTGAAGAGCTGGAAGCAGGTGCTTGATAAGATCTGTTTCCTAAGGGCTGTTCTGGCTCAGTGTGGACAAGGGGGAGGGGCAGTGCCACAAGGGCAAACACAGGAAGACGTGTGGAAGCTCTTGCAGGAGGGAAATGTGAGGGTAGCTGGGGAGAAATGCTTGCTGTCTCGCTGTCTCTCTCTATCTCTCTGTTTATCGATGACCCTCTCTCACCCCTGCAAACAGGCCCTTCTGATCTTAATCAGCCTCATGTCCTACAGTGGATCCTGGGCCCCAGCTGCCGGGCGAGGAAGCCACCTGTGTTCAGCCCAAGCCACCTGTGCAGAAGCTTCCCCCGGGTGTCCCAGGGGAGCTTACGGGGCACCGAGGTCTCAGGGACTTGACTGGACAGGAGAGTGGGAGCCCAGTGAGTGAGCAGGAGGAGCAATGGAAGATTTGCTCCCTGAGTTCCTGGAGGACAGGCTCATGGGGAAGGGAAGCCAGGCACCCAGAGCCCAGATGAGCCCGATAATCCACACCAGAAAGGCTCAGTGTACCAGTCCACTGTTGGAAGCCGATCCACCCTGGCTGCTTGAGGCAGTCCCTGCAGGGATGTTTCAAGGGACCTGGCGTATATGGCATATTGTTCTTAATATGTTTGCTCCCCTCTTAGCAGCTATGTGTTTTAAACAGGACCACCTCCCTGAGAAAGGTTGTTTCCCCAGAAGGGTGGTTGGTCGCTTTGATCTTTGCTTGGAGTGACCTCCTTCAGTGACTTCCTTGTAGCTTAGTGGAGCAATGGAGTAACCTTTGAATGGAGATGGGACGCCCCCTGGCCTTTTGTGTAGAATGGATAGGATTGGGACCACATAGTATAAATACAGATGCCAGATGACAATAAAGAGAGGAACCTGGCTATGATGATCACCTGAACACTGCCTCCGTGTCTTTCTTTCTCGCTGACTCCGTCCACACCTTTGGGAACCCCTGGACCCGCTGGGGCTGGACCCCAGCAGTCCACCTTATTGAACCAAAGACTACAGAACACAAGGTGGGAGAAACAGAGGGTCTAAAATATCATCGTGTCCACACCATCTCCCCCACTGATGGAGAGGCTGTGTCTCAGGGCCCGATTGGTAGAGCTCTTTGATCTGCTGCAAGTATCTGTTTTCTATTTTCTTTTCTCTTTTCTTTTCTTTTCTTTTCTTTTCTCCTCTCTTTTCTCTTTGCTTTTCTTTGCTTTACTTTTCAAACACTGTTCTAAGAGCATTTGCAGTTTCATTGTAATTTCATTGGTCTCTCAGAGCATCCTGGCCCCAATGAGCACCAGCAACTTGTCAAATTTCCACCCACTCCGCTGTCATCACCACCACCATCATCATCATCGTCATCATCATCATCAAGAAGTCACTACCTATAGTGGATAACATTGTAATAAGTATGAATGATGCCATATGTCTGCTAGACTTAGTGGGTGATCACTCTCTAATCACTATATTGCACACCCAAAACTAATATTGTATGTCAACTGTAATTAAAAAATAAAATTTTTTAAAAAGTCACTGCTGAGCACAATTCACCATAGTGAAGATCTGGAAACAGCCTAAGTGCCCATCAGAAGATGAATGGATTAGAAAACTGTGGTACATCCACACGATGGAATACTATGCTACTGTAAAAAAAGAAGGAATTCTTACCATTTGCAACAGCATGGACGGAACTGGAGAACATTATGCTAAGTGAAATAAGCCAGTCAATGACAGAAAAATACCACATGATCTCACTCATTCATGGATAATCAAGACCATTATAAACTGATAAACAAAAATAGATACAGAGGCAGAGCAGCATCAAACAGACTGTCAAAGTACAGCGGGAAGGCCGGGAAGGTTTGGGGGGTGGGGGGTGGGGTAAGAGATCAACCGAAGGACTTGTATGCATGCATATAAGCATAACCAATGGACACAAGACACTGGAGGGTAGAGGAGGCTGGGGGAATGTCAAGGGCGGGGGGAGGAGACATATGTAATACTCTTTGTAATACTTTAAGCAATAAAACAAAATTAAAAATAATAGTAAAATAATAAAAATAAAAAGTCACTGCTGGGGGGTGCGGGTGGCCTGGGAGAGGTCGATGGGGGGAAAAGGAGGCGTATGTAACACTTTAAACAATAAAGAATTTAAATTAAAAAAAGAGCATACAAATCCCCTGGCTACTAATGCAGTTCTTTAAGAGCATACTTTATTATGAATATGTATTTGAGCAGCTTCATTCATAATTCTCAAAGCCATAATTGTACCTATTTTAACACAAAGCTGAGATTTTAAGGTCCATGAAGGTTTTTTATCTTTGTTTCCTGATGTAGCCCCAACATCAAACATGTAATAGTGTGTTTGTAGACTTATGCCTTGAGCTCCCGAATTGAAGATTTGTCCTATCATTCTTACTGCATTGACAATGTAAGGTTTGGTAGGGACTGAAAGAGAAAGTAAGAGGAAGCATGAATGACCATATAGTAATTGGTTATTATTTCTAATAGCGAGAACTTCAATGCCTTTAGCTTGTGCCTATGCAGGTATAGGAAATGAATAATAAACAATTCATTATCTTTTAGAATTTATTTTCTTAATGAAGTATGAATAACTAACTACTGTCTGTCCAATAACATATGTGAATTTCTATGTGAGACATAAGAAAATGTCTGTAATCTCTTCTCTTGCTTGGGAAGATGTGACCATCCTTGGGTCTCTTGAATAATTGCTTGGACCACTCCTAGGCCACCCATAGTGTCTCAAGGTCAATGTACTTGATCTATTCATATAGGCATGTTGCTCTGTGGATTGTGTACTAATCAGGGAATTGTTAAAACACCTGTGATTATACTTTTAGCTATTTGGTTACACAATCATTACTATTTTTCATTAAACTATAGATAATAATTTAAAAAAGGAAAAAAGTCACTGCCTACCTAAGATGAACTGCTGGAGGACAAAGGCGAGCTGGAACTGGAAAGCAGGGCTAGAGACCAGGACCAGGGAGAGACGAGGTTCCTGCTGGGACGGTGAACCCTGGGGAGGGCCAGTCCAGGAGCCACTGTAACTCCCATATCCCAACAACTCAAACTCTTTCCCTTTCTCCCATTGTCAACTTTTTAGTAGTTCGGGCCTTCTCGGTGCTTATTCCTCCACTTCTCTTTCTTTATTCATGACCCCAATGTCTTTTTTAGTCCAAATAAATCCCCAATCAGCCCCCCAACTCTCTTGTCCCCTCTCTTCCCTGATTCCAGGCTCCAGGTTCCTTCCTTCTCTTTGACCCACCTGCCATCTGCATGAACCCCTCCTTTGCTGTGCTCAACACCTTAACACACAGTTAAATCCATTCGATCTCCCCGGCTTTTCCCTTCTAAGTGTTTTATATTGTAAATCAGAAGACACCTTAATCCAGTGGTTCTCAACGTTGGCTGCACATAGAATCACCTGGGAATCTTTTTAAAATCCTGATTTCTGGGCCTCATCCTCCGGAAATTCTGTTTGTTATGGGGTGGGGCCACAACATTAGTAACAAAGAAACAGAATTTCTGGAGGATGAGGCCCAGAAATCAGGATTTTAAAAAGATTCCCAGGTGATTCTATGTGCAGCCAAGGTTGAGAACCACTGCCTTCATCAATAAGCCAAATTTATTTGGAGTCTTTTTCATTTCGCTAGCACTAGCAGGCCCAGAGGAAATATTGCTTCTCCAATTCTGGGGTCCAATATGGTGGAAGTTCTTTCCATTTATATGTTTTTCTGCTTTTTGTCTTCTGAATTTGGAACAAGACTTCCAGACCCTCTGAGAAGAAGTCCTGTGTGCTGGACCTGGGCTGTGACACCAGACCTCAAGGCCTGGCCTGGCGCCAGCACTGACAGCTCTGTCTGGGGCATAGTTTATGTCCTCTCTGGAATGGGAGTAGTCTTATTTTTCCCTATTATTTAAGCCGCAAACGTTTACAGAAGCCAAAATAGCAGGGTTAAAGTTTTAAATGGCAGTTTTTACCCAAGATGGAGGTTACTATGCTTCCTAACAAGGTAAGTCCATGCCTTTGTCTCCCACACACCCTGCTCCCTGCACTGTCTGGGGATCACGGAGTCAGGTCCTCCTGTAGACTTGTGTGAATGCGGGTGAGTTCTTCCAACCTCCTCTCCAGCTCCTGGGCCTCCTGCCTCAACTCTTGCTGATTCAGCCTTTGCGCCCTCATGTAAGTGCTTTGACTCTTTCACTATGTCGACTACATCCATGATAAGGAATACACCTGCAGTGGCTGATACCAGCGATTCTGGCTCCTTTGCTCATGGCCAGAGCAGTGCCTCCAAAAGCTTTCTGCAGCTGCTTGCCGCTTTGGGCTGAGACTGCCCCCGTGCTCAAGAAGCGCGTGGCCTCAGCTGCTAAGAGAGGATTGGATTTGGCCAGGTTGAAGGCACGGGCATTCTTCACAATATCTTTCAGGGATTGGAAGCACTTCGGTGCTAAGGAAGCAATTTTGGGTGTGCTGCGACTTAGAACCTCCTCGACCACCTTCTCTGTGTCACTGCCGGTTGACACTAGGCGGCTGGCTTCGGCTTTAGCTGACGCGTTCTTTGAGGCTTCCACGATGCTGGCAGTCACACCGGTCACAGCAGCTGCTGCCCCCAGTCCCACCCCAGTTGCCGAAAGCACCAGACTAGCCCCTGCTGTCACAGGTGCCAGAGACAGGCCAACGATGGTCAGAATGCCAGACACAGCGCCGGCGGTAGAGGCCGCCACTTTGGTGATGGTGCAGTCCTTGTGCACCTTGTCAACCTCATCCGCAAGTGCGTAGAGCTTTCCTATGCGTTCCTCAAGGTCCTGTTTCACCTGAGGAAACTCCTTCATAAAGCTCTCCACATACAGCTGGTCTGCTGAGGGCATGTCTTTGTCCTCCACAGCCATGAGTGCTTCCAGCTGGCTCAAGTCTGCATAGAGTGCATCTGCCTCATCCCTGTAATAATGAAGGACAGGGGATTAACGAAGGCAGGTGTATGAATCGCTAAGGCTGAGACCCCTACTGGATGAGCTGGTGCAGGAAGCCCTGTCCTCTATGGTGGGAACGTGTGCATCTACCCAGAAGCCCTCAGATTACACCACATTGGCAGCCACCATTCTGACTGGAAGCAGTCACTAAGCCTCACTGCCTTCCCTCTGGTCAGGGTTACTCCAGGGAGAATAGAAGAGGGTCCCACAGGGAGGTCAGGGGCCCTCCAGCTCGCAGACAGGGTTGGAGGACATAATCAGCCAGGGCCCTCTACCCCCAGCAGTGAGGGGATCAAGTCAGGGAAGGAAGAAATGTGTCCCCCTGACCCCCGCACAGCCCTCCACTAGGCCCCTGGCCTCCTCAGGCCTGTGCCAGGTGCCTCAGCTGCCTCACTCTAGTCCAGCCCCGCTGCCAAGCCTTCCTACCATCCTCCCACCTGGACCCACCCTTGCTCCATCCAGACCGGGCTCTGCCCCTGCTCCAGGCCTCTCAGGACCTCTGGACAGGATGACTGCACCTACTTCCTCAGCCTTGACCCTGCAGTTCACCCCAAGGCCTTCACCATAGTCCTATCAGACAGACTTGCTATTCCATTGAAGAGGGAGATGACATAAGCCCAGAGCCCCAGAGCCGGGCAGAGATTCAGTCAGGATTCAACCCAACATGGTGCAGCTTCACTCCAGCTCTCCGCCTTCCAGGCCAGCAGGACCCTGCAGAGTCTGTACAATCCCTTTCTTAGGGAGAGCAGGCTCTCTAGCCACAATCCCCAGGGACACACACTGTGCCAGGATTTTCCTGGCTTGTCCCACAGGAAGTCCTGCGTGGCTCTCACATCCAACAAGAAGACCCTTGGGCCCTGTCTATTCCCAGCATCTTTTTAAAAGTTCATGTCAAGTGTCCACCTACTATGTGTCAGTCATTAGGCTAAACAGTTTACACGCATTATCTTATTTTCCTCACAATGAAATGGAACAGATGAGTAAGACAGAGAGTGGTTAAGTAACAGGCCCAAGGTCATGTAACCTTCCCCTGCAGGCCTCATCTCTTCTCAACCTGAGGCCCTTCTCTGCAAGGAATGATATGAAGGAAATGTTCCTCATGGACTGTTGAGAAGGAACTTCTTCAACCCCAAGCTCAGGATCCTGCCTGGAGGAGTGTGCCTGCCAGAGGGATCTAGATGCAGGGGAGATGGGGTACAATACAGGCATCCCCTGGAGGTTACCTGGACAACTTGGCCACAGTCACAAATCTCTCCCAGGATTCATCACTCAGCAGGCACTGCAGTTTCTCTTTGTCCCTTGGGTCCATTAAATACTCAATGGCATCAACAAAGTCTTTGCCCTCTAGATGGAAAGAAAAAAGAATAAGGTTAGAAGAAATCCTGGTAGAACGGAAATGGAATTGAGTATAAACAAAGTGGTTAAATGTTCATCTTCCTGAGCAGCTGTCAACTGGGGGACTTATTTTTTTTTTTAATATATTTTATTGATTTTTTACAGAGAAGAAGGGAGAGGGAAAGAGAGTTAGAAACATCGATGAGAGAGAAGCATCGATCAGCTGCCTCCTGCACACTCCCTACTGGGGATGTGCCTGCAACCAAGGTACATGCCCTTGACTGGAATCAAACCCGGGACCCTTCAGTCCGCAGGCTGACGCTCTATCCACCAGTCAGGGGATGGGGGACTTATTTTTTAACTCGGGGGAACTTTTGGTGAGTCACCTGGTGTTATGGACAGAACTGTCCCCCCAAATTTATATATTGCAGGCCTGACACCCCATGTGACTGTACTTATTCATTTATTTTTAATAAGTTTCTATTGCTTTTTAGAGAGAAGAAGGAATAAGTATAGAGATGGAAACATCCATAAGAAAAAAGCATCAATCAGTTGCCTCCTGCATGCCCACTACTGGAGGTTGAGCCCGCAACAGAGGCATGTGCCCTGACTGGGAATCGAACCAGTGACCTCTTGGTTCATGGGTCAACACTCAACCACTGAGCCACAATGGCCAGGCCCCATGTGACTGTATTTTATAATTAGGGTTAAATGAGGTCATAAGTGTGGGACTAATCCAATATGAATGGTGTCCTTATGAAAAGAGGGAGAGGCACCAATACTTTCCCTCCCCCACTTGTTTCTATTTTTTCTCTCTCTCTCTCTCTCTCTCTCTCTGTATAAATCAATAACTTTTATAAATCTTTTAAAAATGTGTGACTCTCAGGGATTTGGAGACTCTGGAAATGCAGATAAGGGACTGGGGACTGGTGTATGTTTTGTGTGTACAGAGACAGGATGGAAATGTGTTTCCTGCCATATACACACAAGACATATTATTCTTATTTCACAGACAAAGAGAAAGCAAAACTCAGACAGGAAAAGAAGGCCCAAGCCAAGAAGCAGAAAGCTCAAAGGTGGCATCAAAGGTCACCATGTATTTCCTTACATTAGGTTGAAGCCTCCTTATGTTTCAAAAATTCATGTGATTTCTGCATTCTACCCTAGAGTTCACCTATGGGATTTTTTATAAATTTAAAAGTAATGTTTCAGTCCACACACCACTGATGGAGTAAAGCTACCAGGAAAGAGGATTCCTCCTGCTTCTCACAGGTGCTCCAAGGTGGGCAGTGGAGGGGTGTGTTCAGGTGGGTGGGGGTTGGAGCCTCAGCTCTAATCCTGTGATCAATCAGTATCAGCTCTCCCCCCTCCAGGCTGGTCTCAGGGGTCACAGCTCCCTGTGGGCACCACTCTCGCCCACTTCTTAAACAAGAGGTCATCTTATTTATCCTTAGGAATGGACCTGGGAGTCTGCTCAGGAGCTGCAGGCTTCTGATCTGTCCTCTCCTCCCTTATGCTACAACAGGAACAAGTTTTATCCTCTCGGGGGCGGCGGCGGCGGGGGGGTGATTTGGTTGCCTAGGCAACACAGTGTTGATTTGGGTGGGTGGAGGGGTGTTTTCTCCATTTCTTGCTTCATCCTCTGAGGGAGAAAGTAAACCAGGGTTTAGATGGAGGGAACCCAGAGGACTGCATCTGTGTATCTGTGGGCTAGGCTGTGGGTGGGTGTGGGAGATAACAAAAGAGGCCTCTGCAGGGGTATCTGAGACCAACAGAAGAAGTTCCTGCCTGACAGTCACACCTGGTACACAGGTGTTTATAATTGGGAGCACAGGTCAGGGCCCAGCACAGCTGTGGGAGGTGGCAGTTCTCTGGAGGGGAAGGTTTCCACCAGGAACTAGCAGGTTCCAGGTACAGTGAACAAGAAATTCCCACCTCCCATGGGCTGTCCTGGCCTCATTGGAGACATTGCATGAGTTGCAGAGGATGGGAGGCAGTGAGCAGCCTGAGGAGAGAGCCAGGAAGGAGGTCCCCACATAGACTTCTGGTTGAGGGGACTCCCCTTGGCCCCTCTTGGGGGCTCAGGGACACTCATCAATCCCCTTGGAGGTTCTTGATTCCTGTGTAGCTTAACCCAGCTTGGAGGTGCCTCCCTCAATTCTAGATCATGAGCAGGAACCAGCTAGAGAGGAGGAAGCTGACTACCTGGGCAGATCCCGTCAGCTTCTGAGGTCATGGTGTCAGCAGTGGGATCTCAGAGTTTCCCCTTCAGCTCACCAGTCTGTGTCCAGCTGGAAGGAGGTGTCGCTTCACCCTTGGGGAAGAGAAAACAAATTGTGGGGTTGAAGGTGAGCCAGCTGAGCAACAGGGAGCAGCGAGGGGCTCCGTCTCAGGAGTTTCTTTCAGGGAAGGAAGGCCGCAAGTGCCAGATGGACTCGGTCCACTGTGTTTCCCTGTCTGCCGGGCTCTGCCAGCTGCTAGTTAAGAGAAGGTACTCACCTCACTCCAGCCCACTCCAAGCCCAGTGACAGTCCCCTTGTCCTGTGGGGGCAGAAGGACAAGACCATCAGACAAGGAAACACACAGCTGAGGAGTCATAAAACCAAAGAAGCAGTAACACCAGACACAAAAGATGGGAAGGAAAGATGGGAAGGAATGTTTTGGAAATGACTTGAGGTTGGGGACATGTGTGTTGACTAATCACTGCAGCTAATATTGATGGTGTGTCTACCACAGGCTCCTTACGAGTTCCCTCATCAAATACTCTCACACATTCCACGTGGTGGGCGCCATGGTGGCTCCCATTGGAACGTGGAGGAAACCATGACAAAGTCTAGGTTTTCACCTAAACTCGGGTTAGCCCAAGTCTCACAGTAGTGTTAGAGCTAGGACTCCAGCCCAAGTCTTCCTGATCCCAATCCTGTGTTTGTGAGGACTACGCTCGACTCTCTTTTATATACAAAAACGTTTATTAATGTGTCTGTGTTACTTGCAAATGACTCTTCTCATTCCCAAACGATGTCTTGCACCCTATGCCAAGTCTCTGTGTTGATCAATTCCTGGGGCTGTAGCTTCCCAAGCCTGCACCCCTCTTGCTTCTGCAAGACCCTCATCCCATAAGGCCCTGGGGTCCTGCGGCCCTGGCCCCAGCCCTGCAGCCCTGCTGTGGACTGCCCAGCTCTCCTGACGCTGCCCGGTCCTCTCTGCTTCCCATGCCCCCTGGTAGATGTTAGCTTGTTTCCAGTTCTTTGTGAAAATAGTGCAGAAACATCCATTAGGCATAAAAGTTCGTCTGCATTTGAGATTGCTTCCCATAAGATCCTATCTAATAAAAGAGAAACATGGTAATTGGCGTACGACCGCTACCCTTCCCATTGGCTAATCAGGGCAATATGCAAATTAACTGTCAGCCAAGATGGCGGCCGGCAGCCAGGCAGCTTGAAACTAACATGAGGCTTGCTTGCTTCAGTGACAGAGGACTCCAACGTTCCCCGCCTGCCGCTGCAGGCCTCTGAGCTGCAAGCAGCTATGTAACAAACATAGAAGCTAAACAAAACCCCAGAAACCTGCCGGGCTTCTGCCAGCCGGATCGCAACATTGTAAGCAAAGGCCAGAAACCAACTTTCAGCAGTGGAGGCCTAGGAGCTGGAGCCAAGCCTCAAAGCTAAAGCTGGCCCAGAATTAAAAAAGAAAAAAGAAAAAAAGGAGCGGTTGGGAGCTTCAGTCACCCTCAGCCTGAAAACAGCCCTCAGCTCCTCACCCAGACTGGCCAGGCACCCCAGTGGGGACCCCCACCCTGAACGGTGTGTGACCAGGTGCAAACAGCCATCATCCCCTCATCCAGGCTGGCCAGGCACCCCAGTGGGGACCCCCACCCTGAAGGGTGTGTGACCAGCTGCAAACAGCCATCATCCCCTCACTCAGGCTGGCCAGGCACCCCAGTGGGGACCCCCACCCTGATCCAGGACACCCTTCAGGGCAAACCAGCTGGCACCCACCCATGCACCAGGCCTCTACCCTATATAGTAAAAGGGAAATATGCCTCCCAGCACCGGGATCAGCGGAGCCGCGAGGCCTCCCGGCACCGGGATCAGCGTGACAGGGGGCAGCGCCCAAACCCCCTGATCGCCCTGCGGCTCTGTGTGTGACAGGGTGCGGCACCCCAACACCCTGATCAGCCCTGCTCTGTGCATGACAGGGGGTGGCGCCGCAACCTCCCCATCGACCCTGCCTTGAGTGTGACAGGGGATGGTGCCCCAACCCCCCAATCGGCCCTACCCTGAGCGTGACTGAGGGTGGAATCACAACCTCCCGATCACCCTGCTCTGTGTATGACAGGGGGTGGTCCCCAACTCCCCAATCGGCCCTGCTCTGAGCCCGACCAGGGGCTGCCCCTAGGGATTGGGCCTGCCCTCTGCCACCTGGGAGCAGGCCTAAGCCAGCAGGTCGTTATCTCCCGAGGGGTCCCAGACTGCAAGAGGGCACAGGCCGGGCTGAGGGACCCCCCTCCCCACCGAGTGCACAAATTTTTGTGCACCGGGCCTCTAGTATTTAATAAATAGAATGACTGGGACAGAGGGTATCGCCATATAAAAATTCCTTTATGCCTAGAGCCACACTCTAATGCAAACAAATTGCACCAATTTACATTTATGCTCACAGGATATGAGGTGTCCATCTTTTCCATCTCCCAGTTCATAGTACTTTTTAAACACACACACACACATCTTAAAAATCATAACATTTACCACCTTAACCATTATTTTTTAACATTTTTTTATTTCTTGTCTTTTTAAAAAAATATATAATTTATTCAGTTTCTACAGAGAGGAAGGGAGAGGGATAGAGAATTAGAAACATCGATGAGAGAGAAATATTGATCAGCTGC